CCCTGTATATAATCTAGAGACTCCAGAAAGTCCAGGCATTCTGGCCAGCATTTAGTGCTGCCAAACTGAGAAAAGCCTGACAAGACTGAGAAAGTCTTGTAAACCCTGAGACCATCTGTCTTCGGAGTAAGTTGGTTGTATTTACACTGGAAGGGATTTAGTGATAAAAAAAAAAAAGCTCTGTACTGACAAAAACACTCTTAACATAGATGTGGCTGTAACAGAAAAGTGTATTCTACTTTAGCCTGGTAAAATTACCTTCTCTTTTTATGCACTTACTGCAATAACCTCTGCCAGCAAGGAGTTTTTCCAGCACAAATTTTTTGGCCAACTACTGTTTTCACTGCCATAAAATATTATGTGATAAAAATAAAATATACAGTGGAATAGTATAGTAGAATTCAGATCAGAGCCATATAATAAATACACTCCATGGATTCCTTGTGTGATTATGATGTATGTTTATTATTTTAGGAATACTTTCTCCTCACTGCTGTTATGACATGTTGGTGCAACTTGCTATGCAGCATATTCCAGTGTCGACTAATTGTTGCTTACTAATAGGGCTAAGAGTCATCATAATCTACCCACAGGGCATTTTCTTTTATCTTTTCTCATGTCCAAAGAATTCTGAAAAGCATCAACAGGTTGTGACCATTCATTATTAATATTACAATCTTAGGGCTAGGATTAGAGAAGGAGACAGTAACTTGGCTTGTATTTTTAATGTGTGTCCCAAAAGTTACCATTTACTTTCTGCTGTTTTCTTTTTGCATTCCAACCATTCCAATCATTAGACCTGAAGTAAAATTCCAGTCATGACACGTAGATGGTTTTACGTATTCAGTTTACCTAGGAACGTATTCAGTTTACCTAGGATTCTTAAATGTGAAAGGAGAAATGTGTAAAGATAGGAATGAAAACAATAGACCTTTCCTTATAAAAGGGTAGTAATAGATCAGATGAAAATAAACTCTTCAACATGTTCCCTGAACTTAGGACAGGAAATAGTGGGACTGAATTGTAGAAAATGAGAACTAGGAGAATATTAATGGATAGACTATAAATCAACTCCAGAGGTTAATAAGTCTGAATGCTAAATATAGTGAGCCTGCAGACATTTCAGCTGTATATAGAATAGAGAATTAAGGTAATGATGCATATGACAGATTATGAAAAGGAAATAACCATCAGTGTTCTGCACATCAATGTCATGTTGTTTATCCAGCCTCACTTATAAGCCTGACTGAGTGATCAGTGTAAAAATTAAATGAAGATGCATTATTTTCAATGTTCAGCTGTAGCAGATCACTATGTGCATGTTTATAATCTTCTACAAAAGCTTTTTAGATTCCTGGTTTAGTGGTCAAAGTGGTTCACTGATTTAAATCCATTTGAAAGGTTTCATTTCAGGACTAATTTCATCTGACCTAAGCCCAGACTGCCAGGAGGAGTAGTTTTGTCTTTCCTCTCACTCCCAAACATAAAGTTCACTTCTGTCAGAAGCAGTGCTCTGTAGCAACTTGGCTAAAACTTACCCCGTGACAAAAATAAAGAAGTACAAAAGACAAACAGCTAATTTTCAGCTATATCAGCTATATTCTGCAGTTGCAGTTTTATCCTGCAGTCACAAGCACTCTAACAGGAAAGAAAGTAGAGCTGGAAAAAAGGACAAAGGGAACAGCGAGACCTCAATTTCAGAGCCAGTGTGCATCTGAAACTGCAACCTCATGCTCCTCCATTTAAATGGCTTTACTGGCACATCTGTCTTGGTGAAATACATAGTAATCTGTCTGTCTGTACTAACATACAAATTTAACAGTTCCTCAGGGGATAGTTTATACTGGTCTTGAGATGCTCCCTCCAACTTCGTATCTGTAGAGCAATGTAAAACACTTTTTTGCTATAATATTTAACAGTACAATAATAATATTAAGAGATTCTGATTATTAATTATTTCCAAATGTTTTAGTTATTGCTATTCCATTTGCCATTGCAGCAAAAGGATTAATTTAAAAATAGGTTTAACTACTGCAGTTTAGTTGTGGGTTATCTGTAAAAACAAAACAATGAGTCAGCAGCAATGTGGATAATATAATGTGAAATTCACATTTCTTGCTCATGAAACTGCTGCTTTTCTTGTCATCTTGAAGTTTCTTGTCTATCTGCTTTCCACAAGTGTTCTGGCCTGTCTCTGTTTTAGTGGTTACTTGACAGCTTACACTCAGAGGTAGGATGGATTATTGCTGCTGTGTATGGAACTATGATAAGTTGGTACTTTTAAGGCCTAAGACCTGATGGTGGATCCCAATAATGCAAGTCCAGACAAATCCCAAACTGCCAAGGCAGCCTTGTTTGCTGCATTACTTTGTCCTTTAACATAGGCTCAGATACATGGATTCAGCTTACCCAGCTCTGACTTCCTTGTTCTGCCCACACCACTCCTCCTATCTCAGTAGACCAAATAAAAATTTTTACCTTAAACTATATGTGCATGAAAACTGAAATGCCTTATTCTTCAAACCTGGAAAAAAAAAAAAAAAATCCAATCAACCAGCCACCACCAACAAAAAGCATCTGTTTTGAAAGATGTTCACTGAGATTTTGTCAGAATGTGTGGTTTGTGTGTTCCTGTCTTTCAGGTTTTACATCTTTGCTCTGTTGAATTTGTCACTTCTTTGGTCCCTTTCTACTAAGCAGGACACTCACGAACTTTCTCCTTATCCCTCTGCTATTTGATTTCTTCCTAAATCTGGACTTCCTTTCTATTTCTTCTGTGTGGTCTGTTGGTCTGCCTTGCTTGGAGCAGAAGCTCCCTCTGCTGCTCTGGTTTGTAGTATGCAATGTAGTACAGTTAGAAACTGGATAGATTTCCAATCATGATAAAGCACGTTCTGTGGAACGGAGGAAACTACTATTCAAAATGATCTGCAATAAAAATTGTTTTTCTTGCAATTGCAACTATTCCTAAATTTAAGAGCAGGGTAAAGCAATTTCATGTTAATACATTTAAATACATTTCCCAGAAACCTGTATTACAAGCCTCATCTTTTAGTAGTAGCAAACCTTCAGAAGAATTGAAAATTTTACAATCAGCAAAACTTGAAATCAGTTCCTCCCTATCTGTTTCTTCCCCGGAACTCCCACGCACCACACTGCTCCTCACATCCCAGTGGTTGGAGAAGACATGCTGCAAACTGTCTTAACCAGCCTGAAGTTTTCCACAGCCCTCGTACCCACCAGTACAGACCTGTAGTTGTTTTTGTATTCTTAGGGCCTGATATTATATTTACTTATGTATGATCTCATGCCAGTGAACTTGTCGAGGGGTTTCAGTAAAATAAGGTCTGCCTACAAGAATTCCTTCCAGTACTTGAAGGGATCTTAAAAGCAGGAGGGAGACTGACTTTATTTTTTTACATAGTCTGTGATAGACCAAGGGGGAATGGTTTTAAACTGAAAGAGGGGAAATGTAGGTTAGACATTAGAAAGAAATGTTTTACTCAGGGGGCAGTATGGCACTGATACAGGCTGTCCAGAGAAGCTGTGGATGGCCCATCTCTGGAGGCGTTCAAGGCCAGGTTGGATGGGGTTCTGGGCAATCTGAGCAGGTGTGTGGCAGCCTTGCCCATGGCAGGAGGTTGGAACTGAATGGGCTTTAAGGTCACTTCCAACCTAAGCCAATTTATGATTATGATTCTGAGACTGTGATTCTGTATCTGTTTCTGTGCAGTGTTTTGTGTACTGTTTTTCTCCTATAAGTGATTAGGAGGTTGCTGCTTAGTCATGTCCATGTTCAAATCAACGTAAGGAACAGAAAGTTTGTTGCTAATGTTAAAGCCTGTTCTACATACCCAGTCTCAGGCTGGTTGGCTTTCTCCACTATTTGGCAAAGCAGAGAAAAGAAATGAGTTGTTCCTGGTAAATGCTATCCTGGCAGCATAAACTTCTGTTCTTAGTATTTATCCCAGCTTTTCTGGTTTCACTTAATATGTGGGCCTTTTGCTTGCTACTGCAAGCTTTCATCTTACTCCTGTCTGATCAGTGAAAGTTAGGCTGTTGCAAGGTGTACAGGAACTACTGAATCATGGTCTGAACCTCTCTGATTGATCACCTGAGGTAAGCAATGAGTCAGCCGCAGGAGCACAGGTGAAGGCAACTGTGTGACTGGAAGAGGTGGAGCCTGGCTCCACTTCTAGACCCTCTTTAAGGGCTGACTGCCACTGAGGAAGGATCTCTCTCTGGAGGTTGCTCATCTTGGAGTCTTTTTCTGCAAGCCAGGAGAAGGATAAGCTTTTCCATTCATTTCTGATTATCCCTCTCTAACATGATAATCTTTCCAGCCTAACTTCTCTGTATGCTTACTGATTATACATCTGTATACTCAATTTTACACGAGGTGAAAAGTGAAGCTGCAGAACAGGGAGAGCTTCAACAACACAAGTGTTATTGCAAGCTGAAATATTGGGAGTTCTGACTCTGCCTAGAGTCTGAATCATAGGACTGTTGAATACCTTGAGTTGGAAGGGACCCACAAGCATCACCGAGTCCAGCTCCTGGCTCCTTTCAGGTCACCTCAAATTCAAACCTTTTATCTGATGTCAGTGTCAAAATGCACTCTGAACTCTGGCAGCTTGGAATCACGACTGCTGCCTAGGGCAGCCTGTTCCATGCCCACCACCCTGTGATGTAGAACCCTTTCCTAACACCCATCCTGATTCTCCCCTGACACAGCCCCATGTCGTTCTTTCTGGCCCTGGCGCTGACGCAGAGCTCAGAGCTGCTCCTCTGCTCCCTGCGAGTAGCTGTAGGGTTGCCATGAGGCCTCCCATCGACTCCTCTGCTCTGGGCTGAGCAAACCCAGGGACTTCAGCTACTCCTCATACATCCAAAGGAGAAGCACCTCTTTGGACACTCTCTAATAGTTTTATGCCATTCTCATATGTCTGCCTAAAGGCTGTACAAGCTACGGCAGGTGGGTGCTCGTGTGGTACCCTCCTGCACATTCTATCACGCAGGCCGCAGGAGCCGGGCCGGGCCTCGAACCCGCGGACTCGTGAGCGGAAAGGCGGGCCTTTCCCTGCGTGCATGCGCGCACGCGCGGCGTCGCGGGACGGGGAGCGGGTGCCGGTCGGCCGCCGAGGAGACGGGCGGAAATGCTGCAGCTGCTGGAGAAGCTGCCGCCGGGACGGGCGTTGGAGGTGGGCTCCTGCTTCGTGCGGGCACCGGGCCTTCAGCACCGGGCAACCAACTGGTGGGGCAGGGCCCCGTATAGCTGGGAGCAGGCCGCGGGGTGGGATGGGGAGGGCAGGGCGCTGCTGGCCGTCGGACGCAGCCTTCCCGTGGGCGAGGCCGGGCCCGCCTGCTCCCGGCGGTGCCGTGGTGGGACCTCAGGCGGCATCGCCTTCCCTCTGGGGCTTCCGCCGGGCTTTGAGAAACGAAAGCGAAAATGCGTGCTCGGTTTGCTTTGGCGTATGGCGATGCGTGGGATTTGAGCACTGAGGCTGCGTCCAGCAAAGGGGGCGGGGGGGTGGTAATTGTGCTGCCTGATGGACCTGGTGCAGCCTAACCGTGGGAACAGGGCGTTTTTGAGACGTATACTGCGTTGTTCCAGTTCCTTCATAACGTAGTTGATGGCATATGTGGACGTGGGTATCCTCGGTACCAGGATTACAGCGGTGTTTGGAGCTTGGCGGAATGGATGGAGGTTTTGGAAGGAACAAGGACGTATTTCAAAACGGCCGTTGGCAAAAACATAACTGATGAAGAGGTAAGGGCTCCTCGCTGGTTGGGTTTAACTTTGAGAGATTGTTCTGGGATGATCAGCTTTGTATTTCATTTAGTCCTAAAATATTTTTGTAGCGTAGCATTTGAACAGTGGCAGACTAAAGCTGAGTAGTTTCAGGTCAGGTGGAAAGTGGGCAGCATGTAGAAATAGAATTATAAGACTTCTAAAAGAAAATTGGATACCATTTTAATTAAATAGTGCTGGATGATACTGTACTGTTATGGTGACTTAAAGTGGTATCTTAGGTACTGTGAAGTTAAACTTGTTTTGCTTACAATACATAACCTGTCGTTGATGTTAATTAGAACTATAAACAATTTGTGCTCTTGTTTATTGGAAAATAGTAACTGGATGTTAATCCTGAAAACATCTAGGCTGTGAATGGACCATGCCTCACAAGGACTGTCATTCAAGGGTATTCCAGTGCATGTAACTCCTGCAAAATCTTGTTTCGTGATCAAGAATCTTCTCATCTTCTGCTCATTGCTGGTCTTTAGGCTACTTGCTGGTAGTTAGATCAAATAAAGATACTTGCATAGCCATAGGAAAGTCAGTACATCAGTATGTTTCAGCTGAGCAAATATCTTTGGTCTCCATTCTGATGTCCAGAAACCTTCAGAGCTCAACTTGTTGGTTATGTGTGTGATTCTTGTTTTGGTTCTAGCATGGCATCTAAGAAGGCTTCAGTATCTTGCTTCTTTTAATACAAAGGATTGTGTGCATCAATTGAATTACTGCCAGACAAGAACATAATTTTTTTTTACATTGCTGTAATAAATGCTGGCTCGGTATCAGCTGTGAACAGCCTTTGAGAGCTGCATGAGAAAGATGAGGCTATGGTATAGTATAGCAGTATAACATCTGTCTAGATAGACGCTTGGATACGTATGGGTATCCTACAGGCTATTACAGGTGGTACATCCAATTTCTTTGGTTCATATTTTAAGCAGCCATTTTTTATTCTTACAGGCTGTTCAGCAGATGAATGAGTTAAATGCAAACTATCAAGAAGCAATCATAAAATGTCTAAAAGGCAGAAAAGAAGAAATCAGGAATGCACTCATAGAAACAGTAAATGCAATCTCATCTGCCCAGCTGCAGGATTTTGACTGGCAATTAAAAGTAAGAGTTTTTTTTAATGGTGCTTGAATATAAAAAGAAGTATTCCACAATGAAGAAGTAACTTTAGATGCCCTCCTTAGTAGGCCTGCTCATTCTGGGACTTGGTTCAATTTTTGTGGGTATCAGAAAACTATTGTCATGATACCAAATCAAAGACTTGGACAGAAATCTGTGTAAGCTGAAGATAAAATTCCCTTTTCTAATGCTGCAATCTCTCTCTCTCTCTCCTCTCCCTAAAAAAAAATTTAACACTACTTGGTAACACTTGAAAGTTTCATATGATGTCATGATTTTGAGGCCTAATACGTAACTCTGTACAGGCATAACAATTTTAATGGAGTTACTTCAGAATTCACATGCTTTCACTTTCAAAGAGCCATAATCAAATATGTCATTGCTTTTCATCTGGAGTACACAAATGTCACAGCTCAGTCATTTTAAAAAATTATTTTGCCAAATGTTTTGCTATGGAGAGGCTTTTATTATATTGTTGGTATTTAAAAACATTATCAAGCAGAAAAGGCTGCAGAGATGACTGTGAGCAGTTAGTCATGTGGTTTTCAGTTTTGTCATGTGGGTTTTTGTTCTGGTAATACCCATTTGGTATCAAGTATGGAACTGATGTTGTAAAAGACTAAGAACTTAATGACTTCACCTTATAGTTTGTTGTTTCATCAAACTTCCTAGCTTGCTCTGTCCAGTGATAAGATCTCCACGCTGCAAATGCCACTTCTGAATCTTGATTTGGATGTGAGAGAAAACGGTGAAATTAAACCAATTTCAATAGAAATGAATAAGGAAGAGCTGCAGAACCTAATAAATGCGCTGGAAGCTGCTAATAAGGTAGCTCTTAATGATGTCATCTTTCCTTCCCTGAGTTCTTGTGCATTACGGTTTTTTTAACTGGAATTGTTCTTGATATATTGCTGAAAAGCCAGAGTAAATAATTCATGGGTAAGATGACTGTAGAATTGCAGAAAGGTTTACATTGAGCAGACTGTGTATATCTACTTATGTGCATCTTTGACAGACACTTATTAGAACAGTTTGTTTGGCTCTTGTAGTTTCAACATGCCATATATCTGCTTGAAGGTCTGTGAGAGGTATGGGATGTTGTCATCTCCATGCTTCAAGGAAAAGACAAGGAGAAATTCGCTTTAGAAGTGGTGCCCCTGATTATGCTTTGTTGGAAGGGAATTGCACTGGAATTGGAAGTTATTTTACTATTTTTGGTGATGTGGAGCTGAAAAGTGGTTTCTGTGCAGTAAGTGCTAAAGAAAGTAACTGGAAGTAGTAATTGTGAGAAGCTGTACAGGAGAACTGTCAGAGGGATGATATGTTTTCCAGAGGAAAGATGTGTTTATACAGTTACACATATGGTAACAGCCAGCATAAAGCTTTGTTTCCTGGTCTGCTTAAGTTTTTTGTTTCATTCAACTTCTGTCTTATTTCTTTTTTTCTCTTGAAGGTTGTCTTGCAGCTGAAATGATGGAATTCAGATCACTGATAAGGTCTGCTGATGATGGTTCTCCCGTTGACTTGAAAAAAGTAATAGAAACATTATCTGCAAAATCAAAAGCTGTTGATGTTCTGAAGTACTGAACTGAGAAGGCAGTTATGACTAGTGACCAAATAAACTATTTATCCTTTTATGAAAACAAAATACCTGCTAGGGTGAAAATATGAAAATTGCTTTTAGTACTAAAGATTTTTAGAAAGGTGAAAAAGTAAAATGTGTGATGTGCCATATTTGTTTTGGTTAGATTTTGAGAGTGACTGCACAGGTGCCTAATGAAACCAAGGAGTCTTAATTGCATGTCCTTGATGCCATGATAATGAACATGACAGCATATTTGTAGCATTAATGTATTTATACTTGTAAATAGTAAATAAACTGACTGTATCTGTGAATTTTTGCAATAAATTGTTTCTTGATGTACTACTCACTAAACTCAGAATCTTTTGTAGATGCTAGGAAAAAATCAGTCCTACAACCAAAAGGAGTATTAGAGTCATAGAACAGTTGAGGTTGGTAGGGAACTCTGGAGGAAATCTGGTCCAACCTTCCTGCTCAACCAGTTGGTTACTGAGGTTTTTGAATACCAATTGTTCAAAAATTATTTGGAATAATTTGGTGTTTTCTGAACAATAAAAGGCCAGAAAATATGAATTCTTTTTCTGTTGAAAAAATCTGCTACATATCTGGCTGATAGCAATTTTAAAAATGCAGATATAAAACAGATATAACTAAATGCTCTTTCAGACTTTGTCTTAATAATACAGAGTTGTAAATGTGTACAAAGCTGCATTTTAAGTTTAGTAGCAAGTTATGTCAAATGAATTTGTAATTACACTAGAGGCATGCTGTGGTATCTCATCTTCAGTGTCATCTTTTGTTTGTCCTGCTCTTTACTGCAGCACTGAACAGAAAAGGCTGCAGAATCGTTTTTCAGTTGTTTAAAAAGATGAAACAATTTCTGTTACATTTTGACAGTAATTAATGTACAGTGAGCTGTTTTGTATTTAAATATTATACAAATTTTACTGCAAGAGTTCATGTAATCATACATGTTTTTGATAGTGAGCAAACTTCAATAATCTGTGAATGGCTGAAGAGAACAGTTAAGAACTAGGACCTGAAGTATTGCTGTCATAGGTTAGCATTTGAAGAAACATGTGCTGACCTTGAATCTGTACAGGGAAGCAAGCCTTCCTGTTTTGGGCACATAATGGCCTCCAGTCAGTTGAAAGGAAATTGACCAAAGAAAGTGAAGAAGAGCATTTTCTGCTCTGTGCTTCACACCTTCTAGCAGAAGATTGTTTTGTTCTGTCTCTGCTCAGAGAAACAGGTACTTCTGAAGCAAGAAAGGACTCTTTCAGTGACATATGTTTGTACTGTCTCGAAGAACAGCATAGATTAGAAGGGACTTTAAAAAGTCACCAGGTCCAACCTTTCATGGGAAAAAAGAACCTGGCTGCAATTGTCCAGCACGATGGTCAACCTCATCTCAAAAACCTCCAGTGATAGGGATTCTACCACATCCTGGGGTGTTCTCACTGTAAAACATCTTTCCATTGAGACAAAACCTCTTACAGTGCAGCTTGTACCTGCTGGGGAGCAGTTTGTTTTGGGTCCTGTAGTTGTCTGTGGCAGTGAAGTGTGCTGCTGTACTCTCTCAAATGACCAAAGTGTAATTCCTCTTTACTGAGCTCATTCCTCTTCACTCAATTATTCCTGAATTGTCACATACAAGAGTCTCAGTTTTAAGGGCTTTATGGAACAGTGGTATCTCCAAATGGAGAGTATACTCAAGTGGAAAAAGGGAAAATCAACCACCTTAAATATATTCTGTTTTCCCTGTGGTTTTATAGGCATCATAAAGAAACCTCTTAAACAAGTAATTAAGATGAGAAACTAAATTTTGTGCAGTAGGCTCTTTGAACTAAATGCCCTAACAAAAAAGGTACGTATAATGAATGCACACACACTGAATGAAATTTTGATTTCAGCATATAAAAAGCACCTACAGAAATTCAGGTTGCAGAAACAGACCAGTTGAATCAGAAAATGCAGTGTATCTTGATTCAAAAGTATAGAAGTGAGTTATAAAAGTAATGTAACTTTCCCTCCATTGGCATTCACTGCACTTCATTTCACAGAAATCTTCCTGTGATTTCAGAAAATGATGTTTCTTTTGATTAGTCACTTCATACACACTAAAGTAAATCAGCATTAGGTCAGACCAGCAAGCTGGCAGTATGGAAGTGACTACTGCCATAAAAGTGCTTTAGCAACAAAGCAATTGTGTGTGACAAAATACTGTGTTCTTAGAAGAGACCTATACCTCTGTTAGCCTGTAGAAAATTTCTGAGATCTGGAGTAAGCCTTTCTGGTGAGTGCATTGATGTCGTCGTGCTTTTATCTGAAAGGAAGAGTAACTTCACTAGCAGTTTGAATTGTGAATTAATAATGAAGTATTAAGGAAAAAAGGGATTTTTCCTTCTCTGCTGTTGGAGAATGCTTTCTTAAGTGCATCAGGTTAGCCTGTGATTTTTGTTACTTCTTTAAATCCACTTTAATTATGTTTGGCAGTGTTCCTTCTATACATTTGCTCTTTGTACCTACTTCAAGACCTCTACAGAAAGAACAAGAGACCAAGTCATGATGTAGAAAATTAGGCAAACCTCACGAAGAGTCATTCTGTGGACTTTTACAAAGTTCTGTGGTAATACAAGGTGCTGGGAGATCTGGAAAGTTTACTAACTGGAGGTTGTTGCATGTCTGCAGGGGTGGCTTTGGTGGTGGACTGTGGGGTAAAGTGTTCCTAGCATCAGGTCATACATGGTTAAATAGGTCACAACAGACAGTATGACATTACAGAGATGTGAACCATCAGATGGATTAGCTCTGCTCTCAGAGAACTGTAGGTTCTAGACGTGTTATCAGTCTAACATCATCCGTGTTACAGCACTTGCTGTTTCAACCATAATTTAGGTGGAATACTGCTGAAGAGAAGTAAGTCTGGAATGAATCTAAAAGATTGTTATAACTGAAAAAATAGTTTTAGGAGCATAAGAACTAATGAACCCTATTTCCCTCTGGATCTGTGTACTGAATTGTGGTCCCATGTGAATTCCTCAATGACTAGTAGGGCTGGGGTTCCCTTTCTTTCAGAGAAGAGGGATGGATTAACAGCTTTGTCCTCTGTTCTGTGAAACTTGTATGAATGTTGTACCACGCAGGCCCTTACTCTTCTGTTGCCTTTAGTGTGAAATTGCCAGTGGAGTGAAATATTACTGGCAGATTCTCAGATAGGTGCACACACATATATGCACGTTGTGATAGTAGAAGATTGATTGTTGGGAACTTAGCTAGGAAGAAATTCCAGTACAAGTTTCTTTAAATCTAGTAACATTCAAAATTGCATGAAATAGCTGCACATATTGTAAGGGAGAGCTTAGCTGAAATCTAATTAACAATAGCACCTAATCTACACTGAGCTGGAAGTCTGTTCCTAAGGAGTTTAGAGCTGAAGTGTCTATTACTCACCTTTATCGCTTAAAGCCACTCAGATGTCTGCAGCCTATTGCTGGGAAGAGGCTGTGTTTCTTTTGCACTTACCAGCTTACAACAGCAGATGGCAGTGGACACAGGCTCCCCATATATAGCTGCACTTTTCCAACCCATGTCTCTCATAACCTCTGCTTTTCCCTTACTGACAAGATATTGCTCTAAAGTGAGAAGTGTGTTCTGCTTTTTTTTTTTTTTTTCTTTTTGCTAAAAACACTTGGAAAAAATGGAAAATATGCTAGCTATTCCCAAGCTTTGGTTTAATTCTCTTTTGAGGCTAGAAAGTGGTTTTAGTCTAAATCAAATGTTCCTTGCAATTGTGTGTGTCAAATTCTGTTTTCCCTACCAGAGTCAGGTGGTTAAATGGGCTGGAAGGAGTTGTGTCTAAGGCCAAAGATGCTGGCTCTGGAATGAGATGTTGCCAACCTGCAGTAAGGACCTCTTGTCTGATTTTGTGAAACAGCTGTTAGCCATTGCTGCCAAACCTCCTGCTGAGAGCCCCTGGTTGTTTCCTCACTCTGGATGTTGACTTTTAGCTCCCACCACAGCCAGGGCTGTGTACATACCGTACAAAACCTGTATCAAGGCTGGGGTTTCTGGAGTTCCTACTGTTGCCGTGTGTTGGAGGACTCATGGTATGGTGTTGGACCCTGCTATTTTGGAATGTGCCCCACTGAAGGGGCACTGTCACAGTTCTTTGTAAATGACCCATCCTCAGCTCCATTCCTTTCATGGCTTGGTACTGTGCATTTAACTTATTGTAGCCCACTGCTATTATCTGTGATTGAACAAACTGGGTGACACACAAATTAGGAACTATGTGTATTCAGATGCTAGGAACCTACAAGAAAAAAATGTTTAAGACCACCATAGCAGATCTTTGATCTACAGAAGGGCTAAATATCCTTTATTATTTTATCCTTTATTATCTTGTTTCAGTGTTGTACTGGATGTTGGCTTCACCTATAAGCCAAATGCTCTCACTGCTGTAGTGGGAAAGAGAGGTTGTAATATCTCTATATACTGGAACTGATGTGGCCTTCCTGGGAATATCTTTGGGAAATTAGTACAAAAACTGTTTTTCACATCTTACAATACCAATGTACAGAATGTGTTGCTTTCTTTGAATTTGTTTCCAGATATATCTATATATCAAATATATTTGAATCTATTATATTTTAGTTGCTAACTCTGTTTTCATGGACTTTCCTTCTACTCTGTCTTTGACTGTGTCCAATCAGTTGAACTAGTTTGGCATTTCTGAGCTGGAGAGAGGTTAACAGGAGCAGGTTAGCATCTGAAAGCTTTTTTTCCTTTTCTCTTTTGGTTTAGATGATCTTGAGTGTCACAGTTAGGTGCTATTTCCTAAGAGTGAGTTGCAGACTGCATTTGACATTGGGTTCTTTTATTACTGATAGCAGCGGATGGATACATATATGCAAAATTATAGTTACAGTTTTGGTGTTAAGCTGAAGGTATGTTAGACCATCAGAGGAGTCTTTGCTGGTGTTTCAGTACCTGTAGCACGCAGAGAAATTACTATTGTAATCAGGCAGGTATGCAGTGATCTCTAAGCTGTCACAGCAACTATTCTATTAAAGGTTGAGACAATTTCTGTGCTCCACTGAATATGGGATGAGATTGAGACCTTGGAATTCACAACAAAACTGCTAGACTCAAGTACCCCACTGGATTAGCGATGCCAAATGCCTGTTGCAGCTTCACGTTTTTTTGTAATAAATACATTGAAGTTATTCCCATTCTTGGGCATTTATCATTCTGGACTGTTTCTAGACTCTTAGAAGGTTTGCTGCAGGTAGATGGCTGACCTACTACTCTTTAGCTGAAGGCAGGTTACTGGGGCTCGGCTCCTTGCCTGGGTTTATGTTTGGCAACACGCAGTGGTGTTGGCCTAATCTGAGCTCTGAGAGTGGGAAGAGCCATGTATCCAGCACCACTAGTGTGCCTTTAGGCTTGGCTATGTCTTCTGTTCTTCATCAGAGTCGGGAAATCTGTAGGACCCTGTGTGCAGAACTCTTGCTTGATCTGTTCCCAGATCTCTGCTAGCTCTTGGGAAGATGTGTTGCAATTACTGGATACAGGAAATCTGAAAGCCAAGAAAACAGTCCGCTTTGGGTCTGGGGTATCCTGTAGCAATTGCTTGCAGGAATTTTCTGATTTTAATACATAATTACAGATGGCATATCAATTTCAACTTTGCTACTTTGTGGAAATAACAAAATTCCAGTTAGGTCCAAACCTCTGATTCCATGGTTGAAAACTCAGTGGAGTTTGTCTCCGTTTCTTTCCTTTGAAGATCCTGGCCTCTCTGAAATATTAGTTGGCTTATATCTCCTTGAATGAAAACATTTTTTAGTAGAATTATTTTGAAATGGTGTGTGATGCAACAGTTATAATCTTGCGAAAGTTATTTCTTCTGATTTCTTTACACTTTTAATACTTAAATACTGTGACATGATGACTGCTTTGAGTCATTTTACTATCTTGTTTGGAAATATGCTGCCAGGGGATTACAGTATGTGGCTAAATTTTATTCCACTTAAAAAAGACAAAAGCAAATACAGGAAGATTGTGAGTGATGCATACCGTAGAAATTAAGGAATTTAGTAGTATTCTGATCAGAATGTGGTAAGTATGGGTGCTTTTTCATTTATTTGAGTGTTTGCTTTGAAAGCCTAGATCTAGAGGTATTCATTGGATAGGTACCTTACCTTGAAAATCTCATGTTATGTTTATTGCAGATATTTGTAGTTAGCAAAACTGGGATGGAAAAGAAACAAGCCTCAATATGTTAGTGTACAGCAACATTATTGCATACATTAGTGTACATAATACAGCCAGTAAACAACATTGAAAAGAATAAATGTGACAGGAAAGACCATCCTGGACCACTTGTCTATGGAGTTAACATCAGTCAAGTCAGGTATCTTGACTCTGATCTGGGATGCCCTCCTTCGCAAGTGCCCTTTCTGATGAAGCCTGTGCCTGTCCAGTGCGCTCCTGCTGTAGGGCGCCCTGCCAGAGAGGGCCCTTCTGTGCTGCAGACCATCAGATGTGTACATGGGGCCTTGGGCATCACGGCGGCTCAAGAACACATCCGAGCTGCTGACATCATTTCTTATGTTGAGTGTGCTAAGCAGCATGTTTCCGTGGGGCTCAACCTGTGCCAAGGAAGGAATATCAGTTAGATAGGTTCCTCAGCCAGCCCGAGCTGTCTCATAGATGGATGGTGAAAATATTCCAATCTCTGTCATTTTTATACAGTTTTAGTGTTGTAGGTTAGTTTCAAAAAGAGTTCTTGTAATGGTAAGATCATCATATGAAAAACATGTAGGTACATGAGCATTATACCAGTTATCATATAAAGCTTGTGATGAAAATTAATTCTGGAGAATGAATCTGTGGTAGAGATGGAAATCTCTGCTGCCCACAGCATACCGTTAATTTGCTCATCTGCAAACAGACTAAAAATCCATTTTACTCAAGGAAGTCTTACATGCAGTTGCATTTTTTTATGTTGCTACCAGAAGTTTTATTTCCATTATGTTTATTTGTGCTGTTGTTTATTACATTGTTCTATGTGCTTGAGAAAAGAACTGCAAACTGCAACTGGCATGAACGTGGCTGGTACAAGCTGTGTTTCAATATCATTGCTTTTTTTCATGTGCAAGTGATTGAACATAAATGGTTGCATTACTACAAAGGGTTTACTTTTTTACTCATCTTTGGATGAAGATCTTTACTACGTTTGTAGTAAAACCTCGTGAAGATTTCTAAGATATTTCAAATTTCCAGGTATTTAAACTTCCACATTAGCTCGCAGAAAGGAAATACACAACAGAAAACAGACCTCTTACATGAAACTTTTAAGACTTGGCCTTGAGACTTGCGTGTTACATTTGGCTTTTGTAAGCTGTGGCCTTGTGCGTGCCCCAAATGTACCGAAGTGAAAACCAAGACTGTATGCAAATATGTTCATCCAAAGGAAAAAAAATAAATCACCTGTTGCCAATATGTAGTCTAGTGAAGCACCTCTGTGATATGCCTCACTCTGTTCATGCTCTGGTCTTTACCTTTTTAGCAAGAAGTAGAAGAGCTAGGGATTGGTGTAACCTACAGAAATTTTGAAGTACATTCAAGGAAAACTCCAAGTTGAGCACACAGTCCTCAAGAGCTGTGGTGGAGGATGGCTGGAAGGCAGCATGAGATGTGCCACTCTGAGTCCTTGCTCACTGAAAATGAAGAAGTGAGGGGGATGTCTGTAAAGAGCTTTCTAGAAGGAGGAATGAAGTCGCCACAGACATAACATTCACTCAGGTTTAGCAACTGATTCTTTACAACACAGTGAAATGAGCAATCACTGGGAATGTCACAGTTCCCACCACCTTGCATATTCTGGGGTAGGGAGGCCAGCTGGTCCCAGACCAGTGTGGTTGCAGTATTTACTTGAGATATGGGTCAAGTCTTTTAAGCCAGAAGATGCTTTAAGCTAGGGTTTCCTACTCTCTAGAGGAATCCTTTAACTATAAATGACTATAAACGACTCTCAAATTCTGACATTTTCTGTGGAAAAAGCAAAGATCTCAGATTGCCGTGTAAAATTAGATTTTCTTTAATTCTGAGAAGTTTTTGATGGGTCAACCTTTTCTCCTCAGTTTTACCAAATAGCGACCTGAGCTGTTTGATTGCATAATCTAATGTGTAAGCTAATTTGCTTTAGTGCTGTAACAGTGGTGACAGCAGTGCAAGCGTCATTAGGCAGTATTATTACTTCTCTCTTGTGAAGACAACACATAAGTGCTTACAATTTAAATTGATTCACAGAGATTTTTCTCAAATTAATATGCACTGACAGTTTATTACAAACCAAGCAATCTATGATTTCCTAAACTAAGTGTTATGAATTATCCCATTTTTTTTTTTTAATGGGTTTCATTTAAATCATTTTAGGTGGGATGAGTTGTATACATCATGAAACAATTCAGACTTTGAATTGCAAGCTTTGCAGTTCAGAGCGCAGAGCCTTACAAATACCAGGGGCATCAAAAATCACATAGTTTTTCCCATTTGAAAGTGTGCATAAATGCGACTTCCTGAAATATCTGTAATGATTAATCTCTATTGATTTAGCATGGACTTCAGGCTGAGTGTGCTGGCAGTAGTATGGCAGAGAAGGTCTATGCTAGAGACCCACGGATAATGTTACCAACCTGATCAGAGATGAATCCTATTTATCCATAATTATGTTGATTTCCTCTGTGACATCTTCCTTTGACAAACAGACAAGGAGATAGAATCAGTTTTTACATTTTATTCAGAGAAACAGAAAGCTTGTTTAATACATTTTCCCCTGTGTATTGAAATATAAAATGGTATGTACTGTAAAACTAGAGTGGCCTTATTTTCATCTTCTTCAGTTTGTAGTGCAGAGAACCTCTATATACAGAACAGCAGAATAATATCAGTTACTGAGTGATCTTTTCTGTGCTAATATCCAGATCAGTTTCTTCTTTTCCTCACATTTTGGTTTGGTGTTTTGGTTATCTGGTGAAGGAAGTCAAACTCTTTCAGCTGGGAGGGTTGCATGTCAGATGGAAACAGTATCTTCACCTGGCACAAAGACAGGAGCCACAGTTACTACCCTCTGTTGGTTATAGGTCCCTGCCCGTATATGCAATACGAGTTAAAAGGGATAAATATCCCATAGCTGTGCATACTTACAACTGTACTTCTTTTGAGTTCTGAAGAGGCTCTGCCCTGCTCTGGTACAGACTATATCACTGAAAAATCTCAAAAGCTGATGGAGAGCAGCTGGAAAGTGTCTTCACTGGGATCAGACAAGCTTACTGCGTTCCTCTGGCTCCGACCATGTACATTCTGCCTGCCAAAAACAGAAGTACTGCTGTTGAACATCAGCATTGCCATGCTGAGTAAAGTGAGTGCTCAGAAGGTCACATATTGGTGCGTCTCCCAGTGGGATAACTAAATCCACTAGTATCTGTTCAGGTATCTGTATCTGCATACGTGTATCTCTATATGAGTGTATATAAATTGTCAAACCTGCACTATACAGACAGAAAGCAGTCTGCTCGTTCTCACTATCAGAACAGAATTGCACCCTAAAGAGTCAACACTGCTAAATTATGGTACAAAATGTCCATACATCACATTTGATTTCAGAAAAATTCTGGCACGTTTGACAATTTGCAAATCTACCCCATCCCATTCTTGGCTTAATCTCTTGATTACCATTCTTGGTATAATCTCTACCAGCACAACATTTAGACAAAAGCCCTTCTTTATGAGCTAGAGCATTTTGTGATTCAAACGAGCTAACCATATGTGAAGGAAAAGTGCTCACCTGTGCTGTGACTCTCTTATCCCAACTCAGGTGTGTGCATTGGGACCCGGGTAGCCAACACATCACTCTTCACTGGGAACACTTGTGCTTTTTTTCACCCAGGCTGGGTTAGCCCAGGAGCTGTGAAAGAGGCTGTTTCCATTTTTTGGATCTTGTTTTTCTTCTTTCTTATTTTCCATAGAAACAGATTGATAGTATCTGCACAGAACAATCCATAATGGAAACAATGATCCATATTTCCTTAGCTCTGTGCAGGATAATATTTTGTGGCCTTAGAGACTGTTACAAACCTGAGCTGAATTTTGCAAGTGTTGTAATAGAGCATCTTGTGTACTGGACCAGGAGGTAAATGAAGGTAAGGACGTTTAATGAGCTCATGATTTTGCTGGGACTGATAGCATGGTGCTTAGCTGCAGTGGTGTGATTGCAGGAATACAGAACATCCAGGTAGGCACACAACTCCAGGACTAACAAAATGTCAGAATTTCAGAAATGCACTTCTTGACATAAATGTAAAATTACAATCATCCATCAAGCTGATGGTAAGAGTGTTTTGTGTTGGTCTTATTCTTTGCTCTGAACAGAGAACTCAAATATTTCATCCAAAAGCGATGACCTCAACAACAGCACAGAAGCATATAAGGTAGCTTGGATGGGATTCATCCAGATGGAATATGTATTCAAAAATCAGAGAGTAGAAAGAATTTTTTGTTTGTTTGTTTCACTATAATATGTATTTTTCACTGAGTCAGACTAGGTCAAATATAATTAAGGAAAAGTTTATTTCTGAAATTTGGGTGAAACTGGAATAGGTTTACAGAAGTCTGCAAGTGCTCAGTGACATACTGGTAAATTTAACATTTTCCTGTAAAGAAAATAACAGTATTGTTTTTCTTTTATTTTAAATTTATACATAAGGAAGAGTAGATGTGATCTGCTTGAATTTAGTCTGAGAAAAAAAATCCTAACATCTGCGAGAGCTACTATAATCTGGCAGAGTTCTCCTTGAATTCCTGAGAATTCAGTGGTGTAGGCTATGTTTGAGACTTATTGAAGAAACAGAATTTATCTTTGCTTTCTACTTTTGGTGAGCTTTTAGTGTATAAAAGGGAATGGTATAACAAATGTTTATTCAGTACCACCTTCCACAGCTGAGTCCATCTTTACAGTTGAAGTGGTAAATGTTTGACATTCTCGTACTCCTTTTGTTTTTTCTGTGCTGCAAAGGCCTGCATGTTCTGAATAGTCATTTACATATTCTGTAGCTTCTTACTCTGTTTTCAATTGAAGACTGAACCAAACGTGCTGCGATGCCCTTAAAATATTTTTTCTCTAAACAATTTTAACCGCTTTTGCATGGGTGTTGAAACTGCATTTCTCTCTAACATCATATTCAACAATATTGTCACAGCAAAAGTCATGTTTGAAATGTTAGCTTGAACATCTTACCTGGACTCTATATGTTTCCAGTCTGCTCTTCCTGCCTGTCTCTCTGATTGCTGCCTTTTTTTGACGCTGGGGTCCTTTCCCAAAGAATATATAGTTTACAAAAGCATATTCCAGCAAGGCCAGAAACACAAACACAAAGCATCCCATCAGGTAAATATCTATTGCCTTGACATAGGGAATCTTTGGCAGTGTCTCCCTAAGGTGGGTGCTAATGGTTGTCATGGTCAGCACAGTTGTGATTCCTGCAAAAGAAAGAAGTGGATATTGGTGGAAGAAATGGTGAAGAAGATATGAGAATAACAGCATTGCCCACCATGCACTTGTAATGCTGATAGCTTAATTATGTTATCAGATCCTTAACATCTAAGGGAATGCTTCTCCCAGAACTGAAAAGGTAGATGTCACAGGAACTTGCCCTTCCTTACCCTATGTACCTTTCTTATCCTACGTGGCATAAACAAATAATTCAGATGTCAGTGTTGAAGACACAATGTGTTTATACTGTAGTGCTAGCTGACTTGTATAGCAAAGAGTCAACCACTATGTGAAGAAATGATTCTTCCTTTTCATATGGCAGTAGCTCTGCTTGGCCCAAAGACTAGATTACATTGTCCCAGGGGATGGGATTAAGTAACTAATTTAAGACTGAAAGCATGGAATTGAAAGGAGAAAGTGTGGCTTTATAGTAAAATGATCTTTGGTAAAGAGAAAGTGAAATGCTTGTGTCAATACAACTTCTGCTATTAAAGGAATGCTCTGAATTAAAGCATATCTGCCTGACTGTGTTATGCGTAGTGTATGTATTTGTGTTGTTTTTAGCTGGATGAAATTATTTTTAGTCTGCTCTAATCACATTTTGTTAATGCATCTAGATAATAGCTCTAGACACAAATGTGATTAGTTGAATTTACAGAGCGGCGGGTTAAAATAGAGGTGGGACAAAATGGTTACCTGGCATTATGATTTGAAAAGTGTATTGCAGTGATTTACAAAATAGCTTACCAAGAGCAACTCTGGCTGCAGAGGCATCATAATTGATCCAAAAAGATACCCATGACAGAATTGTGATCAACGTGGAAGGCATATATGTTTGCAGAATGAAGTAACCAATATTTCTCTTAAGCCGGAAGCTAAGTGATAACCGAGGATATGCTCCTGAAAGAATGAAGCCAAATAATGACTGGTGCCTAAGAAAAGTTAGACATTGCTACCTGGGAGAAGCTTTTCAAACTAGCTGATGCTTACCTGTTGTGAACTCCACTCTCTTTGATATCATCTTGTAATCAACAATAGAAAATTGTGGGAGCTCGATGTTACTAACTCCAGTTACTGCAGACTCTCCGTTCCAGTAAAATTCAATATCATCAGTGGTGTATCCATCTAAAACAGAGACATAGTTTGGCTATTGATTTTTCTTTCAGGTTTATTACTTAGCTTAAATAGTTGTGTTTGAAGTGGAAGGAGCTGCTCATGGTAAGGAGTTCAGTCTCATATATAAAATTTCTGCTCTGCAGAAGCCACTGCCTTCTTTGTGTCCAGGGAAAACTTCTGAGCATGAAAAAAGACATAGAGATAACAAGAAGAGAAGAACTCCTTGAAAGTAGCTCTGCTGAGAAGGACTTAGGAGTCTGAGTAGATGAAAAACTTAACATGAGCCAGCAGTGTGCACTTGCATCCTAGAAAGCCAATGGTATCCTGAGCTGCATTAGAAGAGGGGTGGCCAGCAGGGTGAGTGAGGTGATTGTCCTTCCCTACTCTGCCCTCGTGAGCCCCTGAATATTGCACCCAGGTCTGGGGCCTCCAACACAGTGAAGGTGTTGAGCTTTTGGAGAGGGTGCAGAGAAGGGCCACGAAGATGATCAAAGGGTTGGAGCATCTCTCCTGTAAAGACAGGCTGAAGAAGCTGGGCTTATTCAGTCTGGAGAAGAGGGGCGAAACCTCATTACAGGCTTTAAAAGGAGTGTTTAAAAGTAGTATTTAAAAGGAGATTATAAACAGGAGGGAAATCAACTATTTACATGGACAGATAGTGATAGGACAAGGGGGAATGTTTTTAAACTAAAAGAGGGAAGATTTAAATTAGATGTCGGGGGAAGTTTTTCACTAAAAAGGTGGTGAGGTGCTGGAACAAGATTCTAAGAGAGGTTGTGGATGCCCCATCCCTGGAGGTGATAAAGGCCAGGATGGATGGGGCTCTGGGCAACCTGACCTAGTACCTGATCCAGCAGTTTTGGACCAGGAAAGATGATTCCAGAAGAATTCATAAACCTGTACTATACTCTGACTCTGTCTGAGCTGTAGTTACCCCCTTGGAATTCATACAGCATTTTATATTTTAATGAGACCATGCCATCACTTATTGGCCGTTAACATAGAGTATTTCCTATCTATTCCAAAACTAGCGCATTTCTTCTCTGTTCTTTTAACAGTGATGACCATTTTTCATTTAATTAGAAATTAATCTGCCTTTCTGCCATTGTTAGCATTTTCAAATATGTTTAAATGAAGCTCAGTAGTGGCTGAATTTTAAAATCTCCCAGTTGATGACGTTTAGAACAGATTTCTACTAAAGGAGGAAAAAACATCTCATCTAATTTTAGACTTTTCCTTCAGGTGTGAATTATAATCAAGTTTAAATCATATAACACAGATTAAATAGAAGAAGGAGTTTGAACTCAAAGTTTTAGGAAATGAGACAGTGGCACAAACCATAGCACCAGAAGTCTCTGCAGAATTAGAACTTGACTATGTATGTGTACTCGTGATGTCTTTTCTAGCTAGAGAAATTGGACTGGAGATGACTTTTCCTATGGTAGTTCCTCATCTCTGAAGGTTGACCACATGCAAACCAGATCTGTAGCTACCCTGGGGACAGTTGGAGGAGACAAACCTTGCTGCTGGGAAGGATGGACAACTGAGAAACTGCAGCTAGTGAACAAGCAACTTTTGATGCAAACACACCACAGTGGATTGAACAAGGTTCAATCTTATTTGTGAGCTGTGCTATAGCTTGCTGATGAAACTATGCTAATCTATGTAATACAAATTACTGCTGTTTACTTAAACTTTCAATGCTACCCATTGCTTATGCTAATTGATTTGCAGTAACCCGTATCAGGCCCGCACTGCTGGCTGGCTTTTTGGTGCTGTCTGGCAGAAGCCCAGAATCTTGTCATTGCCAGTGGTCAGGACAGCTGCTAGGTGTGGGGTTTCAGTGACAAGGCCCAGACACCACGAGCCTAGGACAAGCTCGATGTTGGATGTGATGCTGAACAACTGGATCAGGAAATGAAGGCTGCCAAGTCTGCTTAAAAATGCCAGGGAACTCTTAACTTCATTTTCATGCAAATCTTTATTTTAAGAATGTCTCTTGAATATTTCCCAAGACCCTGTGCAATAGAGCAAATGGCAAGCTATCATCTCCTGCTGAAAGCATATTGACTATCTGTCACCTTGGTACCACACAGACATCCTATATGTGAGCTAACAGGCATAGTTATTACTTCATCTTTAGGAGACAGTGATAGGAAGAAGGGTGCAGACACAACCCAAAATTTCATGGGTACTTTCTGCAGAGAGCCAGGGCAAGGTTTAGATGTGAGAATCAAAGGGTCAACTTCAGGGCGTGGAGAAAGGTGATGAACTTGATTCATCTGCCTTTCCTCACTGTCACCCTTTCCACACTGCTCCCTCCAATTTCCCCCCCATTCTGCCTCTTGTCAGGTCTCAGCATGCACTGGCTGAGGGTAGAGCAGCCTCCAGTGCTCAGAAAGCTAGGCTTTGTTCCTTTCCCTGAAGGATGAATTTCTGTCTATTTACTTGTTAAGGCCAAAACAGTACCAAATAAACGTCAGAGGGCAGATCTCAAAAGTGAAAAACAGGTCTGCCTTGCTACCTATGGACTGTACCGTGTTGCCAGTGCAGTGTGTAGTGTTGCTGGTCTTCTGCAAAAACAGTTTACCAGAGGTTGTAACAGAGGCACATGTGCTTTCCATTTCCCTTGGATAGGCAGCTTCAGTGCCTCTAGCTAAATTGCTGCTGCTGCTGCTGTAGTAGAGTTACAAAGATGTAAACTCTCTGGACCAGTAGTAGAAGCCTTGCATGGAAGATTTTAGCTGCTGACAGACCAACCCTGATGGCAGGCCATGCCTTTCAACTTTACAAACTTCCAAACACTGCAAAAATGAATCTGGAATGCTTCTAACATGCTGATTTGTCCATTGAATTTCCTCCAATTAGAATTTGGGAAATTAGGAGGAAGACTCAGTATAATTTTAATTCAGGGGCATTAATTTCATTCATGGTTGCATTTAGAGGAGTAATTCTATGATTCTACGATAAAGAATCCAGCAGGAACTCTTCCTGCCAGTTTTGTCCCTGATGTCTTATGATTTTTAATGCCTTTCACTATGTGCATCACACTTTTCTCCAGGTGTGTGAGAGTCATTGCTTTCCTGTCTTATTCTGGCTCACGGATGCGAGGCTTGAAGGCTGTAGGTACAGGTACAAAATAATCTCACAAATGCAGAGCGCGAAATGAACCCCACCCCACTGATCTGCGCTACCGGCACAGGTTGATCTCATTCAGCGCAGTGCATTCCCCCTGAGCGGGGCCGCCGAGGGTCCCCGGCGACCACTAGGGGGAGCCCGCTCCCCGCGGAGCGCTGCCTCTGACCGCGCGCCCTCCGCAGCTCCTCACGGCCATCCCGCCTTGGTCACCTCCTTAATCACAGATGATGACGGTTTTTTGTTTGTTTGTTTGCTTTTCTTTTTTTCTATTATTAAAAATGCTTCCGTGAAAATTATTTGATTTGTTTAAGCCTTTGTTTGCTTGCTAGATTCTTCAGAGCCACTAAAATGCCAGCTGTGTTGGGATTTGGTTTAAATAATATCACGAGAGATGGGATAGGAACCTTTCAACACTTAAAAGAAGGGGACTATAAGAAAGAAGGGAACAGATTCTTTAGCAGGGTCTGTTGCAGTAGGACGAACAGATGTGGTTTCAAACTCAAAGAATGGAGATTTTTGTTGGATATAAGGGGGAAGTTTTTTACAGTAAGGGCAGTAAGGAACAGGTTGCCCAGAGAGAAGGTGTGTGCTCCGTCCCGGAGACGTTCAGGGTCAGGTTGGATGAAGCTCTGAGCAACCTGACGTAGCTGTAGGTGTCCCTGTTCATTACAGGGGAGTTGGACTGGATGGCCTTTAAAGGTGTCTTTCAACTCAAAAGATTTTATGATTCTATGAAAATATGTTCTGTGGCTCAACTAATGATATTAAACTTCTGCTTCCTAGAAAATAATGTCTAGGAATGGTAATGCAGTCCTTCATGTGTCAATGCTTTGTTTTGTTTGCTTCTCGACCAGCAGCTGAGAGCTTGAGTGAAAACACTTAAGCAGAAGTACCACAAGTCTAGAAAGTAACTGGATTCAAGCATGGCAATAAGTAGATTATATATAAATCTTGCTGATTGCAGAAAAGAAGTTTTAGAAATGTTGCTGACACTGTGATAAAGCAGAGGTTAACAGTGTACTACTTGTTAATGTCACCAGGCTGTTCTATTTTTCACTCCAGCTATTACCTCTCAAATACCTCTGGGATAAATAAAGATTTATATTACATTAACTTCACAAATAAAATCATAGTTGTACTCATATTACCAAATTCCCCAGTGCTGTATGAATGGAGACACTTTTTCTGTCTGATTCTCCAGGGAATGTAGCTCGGAAACAGCAAGCAACAGGATCTCTTCCTTAGGGATCTGACTCTAATAGCTCATTTCCAAAGAATATTCTAGGCTGTGAGCCCTAAGCCTTCAGTCTTATGTAAGGATATGAGGCTGGAACCCACCCTTCTACCACTACTGGATCATTTCTTTCCTAACAACTTGGTCGTGGTTGCTGAATGCATTTTTACAGTATATTTCTTGTTTCATATTGTTAGTATTCCTATGACTATGTTAAAGAAAAGCATTTTTTCTGCACACTGTGCAGAAAATCCAAACAATGGTAAATTGATAGTTTCAGCCTAAACCCAGCATGGAATTGCAGCACCATATATCTGAAGATCACCTTTGAAAGCAACATTACCAGTTAATATCTGGGCAGTAGAATTGCTTGAAATGGTTTCCTGTTGCTTTATTAGAGTGGATGTTTATAGCTGATTTTTTTTCAGTGAGTTTCACTGAGGAATAAAGGCTGATCTGAGGGAAGGCAGCCTTCTACTTTCTATAGGCAGATGGCAGATTGTAACCATGGACATGAGTCAGAATTTAGCCTAACAAGTACTGACCCAAATGAATAGTTTGTTAGATTGCTGCAGTACTACAAATTGTCAGTTATTTAAGAGGGTTTCTCGAGTAAAAATAAATTTAACATATGGGA